CTCACTCTGTGTCTCACTCTGTGTCTCACTCTGTGTCTCACTCTGTGTCTCACTCTGTGTCTCACTCTGTGTCTCACTCTGTGTCTCACTCTCACACATTCTCTCTCTCTCTCTCTCTCACTCTCTCACTCTCACACACAGTCTGTGTCTTTCGCCTTCTCATCATGTTTTCATATCAGTCCTGACTTGGCTTCCTGTGTTTGTGCTTTCAATTCAGTCAATGTCCATGTGATTTAAAAAATACTGGCAGTATTTTAGTTTACACTGAAAGGTACTGCTTACTAAAGGCAGGGCAGAATGACATGTTTACTTCCCTTGTTGCCATAGAAGCTACTTGTTTTATCTCTGGGAGATGGTATCCCAATGTTCCATATCCTGCAAGACACATACCATCATTTTTTCACTGCTTTATTCTATTTGTCACAGGGCTGTGAGAAAATGGGACTCTGAATGAGCAGCGCAGAAATGCTCCAGTGAGTCCTGCAAATTAATGAGATTTTATTGTTAAAAAACATTTGAATTCAGAAATTGGTAAATTAGTACATAACAAATCTTGATGCCTGTACTTTGTGCGTGTGTATGAACTTCTTTTCCCCAATGTTGTCATTCCAGCTGTCGGAAGGTGGGAAAGCTGCCCAGGCAAGCATCGAAGTCGGGGATGTGGTTCTGTCCATCGATGGGGTCAGCACTGATGGAATGGTTCACCTAGCAGCTCAGAATAAGATCAAGGCATGCACTGGATCCTTGAAACTCAGCCTGCAGAGGTAGGCATCTGTCACCAGTGGTAGTGCCCCTCGCTTTGGGTCAGGAAGTCCAGGTTTAACACCCAGCTGCCACGGAGGTGTAATGTCACGTGTCGGGTCCGGTCCAGTTGTGTGTGTCTCACAGGCGTGCGTACACACACACTCGCTCCCCCTCTCGCGCGCCTTCCCTCGCTCACATGTGTTCTCTCTCTCTGTCTCCCTCACCGGTCACAACTGCATGTTTGTGGTGTTGTTCCAAATGCAGTTTGCAGTGTAGTAATCACAATAGCGAGTCAACATGGTAAGAGCATGAAGTTCATGAGGTTCATACTTCTTGTATCAGGAGGTTGACAGAAGCAAGTTTCTCTTGGCACTGAGTCAGGGTACTGTAACTCACAGCTTGGTTGTGACCCCTTTGAATGATAAAACAGAGAATTTTTTTTTTCCAATTCTTTCATGGAAAGTGGGCATCAGTGGCCAGCCCATGTTTATTGACCATCCCACTATAAAACGTCAGCCGCGTTGCTATGGGTCTGGAGTCACATGTAGGCCAGACTGCTAGAGGAACCGAATAACCTGTGTCTGTGCCAGTTGGCAGTGAAAGTCCCCAAATTGCTCCAGGACTGTTTGATTACCTTGATGGTAAGGTGCGGTGAATGAGTTGCGACATTGAATCCACCTAATTTCACAAAATACCACTTTCCAACAAGACCCTGTCTGCTAAAGGTTGTATTTTGAATAGGAAGTGTGCTGAGGAGAGGTCAATCTGCCCAGGGTATGGATGGGCTAGGAGTGGGCTGGAGGGAGGGCCAGTGGGGTGGGGTGAGTGAGGACGGTGATGTTGATGCTGAGCCTTCTGAGCTGCAGCAGACCCCTTGATTTGAATGGAATCTGGTTGTGCTTGCTGCAATAATGGGAGTGAGCTGAACATCTAAGCTTATTCCAAGTGCTGAGACATCTATTGTAAGCTGTATGTTTTAAGTATTAGGATGGAATGTGTTCTCTTGATGTTTTGAGCAGCTAAAGTGTTTAAAAGTGCCGAAATGGGAGGTGTAGGATTTAGTTCGGAATGTAACTTGATCATTAGCAACGAGAGAAGATCCTGTTTTAGCTGGAGCTACATGTCCTTTAACGTTCCATTCGAAGTCATGGGACCTTGATTCTGTTTTTAGAGTGAATCTTCATAATTTTATTCCCTTGAACTTGTGCACATATGTGATATAAATGCTTTGAGTGTAGCTAATTGCTATATATAGAAACACAATCTATTTATGAAATCCGACTTGTCTTTTTCAAAAAAAATATTACAAGCACAAAATAGGTGTGTTCTGAAATTGGGGAGAGTAAATTTGAAGAGAAAGCTGGCAAAATTCTGCAGCAGATTGAGAGAAAAGTTAGATGACGCAAATTTGAGGTAGCATCAAGTTTCTTGTTAGTTTCAGGCCTGAATTTGTATCAGTTTCTAGGTTATTGTTCTGGCAGAGATAAGGACACTGGGGGAGATAGTAAGAACTGCCAATGCTAAAGTCAGAGATAACAGTGTGGAGCTGGAGGAACACAGCAGGCCAGGCAGCATCAGAGGAGCAGGAAAGCTGACATTTCGGGTCGGGACCCTTCTTCAGACACTGGGGAAGCTCCTTTATTAGCATTAAGCTAATAAATGGAAGAACTTATGACCCATAATAACCAGTAATAGTGGCCAATGATGATTATTATTTTTTGAATAATAGTTCTGTTCCATAAAGTCACAAGTATCACACTTTGGGCTGTTACAGAACATAGGAAATAGTAATAGGTAGTGACCATTCTCACCCTCAAGTTTGTCCTGCTGTTTGTTAAGAGATCCAAGCTGATCCTTTACCATGTCTACTTTGCCACCCTATCCTCAGATGTCTTGATTTTAAACGCTGACTAAAGGAGACCAAGTGCTAAAGTATTTTGTCTTGCCCTCATCAGAACTAGTGCAGAAGAAACAGATTATAAAGAAAAGAGACACCACTTTATGTAGAATGAGAAGAGGGTGGTCAGGCCATTGTTGGCATGGAGATGCAACAAGCAGTTAACTGTCGATCTTCATTCTCAGCCCAGGCAGGTAGATTCTGCTTGATCAGTGCATTCCTCTGCAAACCAGAGGCCTGTGCATCATTCTATGTAGCTTCCAGCACATGCAAATACATCACGTGAACCTGATTGCTGATCGTAAATCGGTTTCCAAAGTGAGCTTCTCTTCCTTGATGTACATTCGTGCTTTGGTTTAGCTCAGTTGGCTAGATGGCTGGTTTGTGATGCAGAGTGACACTAACCCCATGGGTTCAATTCCTGTACTGGCTGAAATTACCATGAAGCCTTCTCCTCCTCCTCAACCTCCCCTCTGGCCTGCCTTTTTTACCTCTGATTCCCACAGTGTCTGCTTTCCCTGCTTAAAGGAACTTGTGTCAACTTGCAACAGCACAGTTTGTGGCTGTTGCTGCCGAGGAAGGTGAATTGGACTGTGTTGTCTGGGAGGCTTACTGGATGATTATTGAGGCATACCAGAGAAAAGTATGAGAGCAGTGTCGAACTGCTATTTTTGGGACTGATCAGTCGTAAGCCACTTCCCCTTTTTGATTCTTTTGTTGTCTGTCAATGATCTGAACTCGGGAGTAGAGTGCACAATGTTGGAACAGGCAATAACACCTAACAAAGACTGATGACTCCAAAGGGAGATCAGCTCTTGTCCCATGGGTATTATGGAACTACGTAACATAATCCACTTATTTGGAGAAAGCACAAGGATGTACTAAAGAATGCAAATTTTTGAGAAGGAAAACAAGCTTATAAGTTTCTTACTTTGTCCTCCCAGAAACTCCTGGATATAAAGTTAATAAAAACATTTTTAAAGGAAAATGTACATTTGGGATCCTTATAAATTAAGAGCAATTGTGCTTAATTGGTACAAACTAAGGATTAGCCCACAGTTAAATGACTTGCTCCAATTTAGAATCATGGAGATTCATCGCGGAACAGAAATTCAACTATGAGAATGCACTAGAGAGTTTTCCCTAGAAGAGCAGAGATTAAGCAGAGGTCTGATAACAGGCCATTCGGTCTGATAACAGGCCATTCAGTCCATTCGTGTGCTGCTAGTTGTACACTGCACCAGTCTGATGTACTTAAAAGTTGAGAGGAACTTGGAACTGTGAACCATTTCCTCCAATTAACCTCTTTGATAATTGAGTGTCTTATTTGGTGTAGAAACCTGTTGGGGCATAGGATGGAGAATAAGGGACAATGTTGGAAGGAGAGGTTGTGATAACTGTCACAAATGAGTTGTAATTTTATTTCCCTTTTCATGCATTCATGGGATGTGGACATCATTGTTAAGGCTAGCTGTTTTTGCCCATATTCTCCTTGAGCATAGTGCCTTGCTTGACTACTTCAGAGAGTAGTGGGTATGGAGTCATATGTGCACCAGACCAGATAAGGACAGCAGATTTCCTTCCCTAAAGAGCATTAGTGAACCATTAGCTGGTAGTTTTATGGTTCACCATTACTGAGATGTGCTTTATGTTCCAGGTTGAACTATAGTGAGAGGCTGAATAGACTGGTGCCATTTTCCCTGGAGCATCGGAGGCTGAGCGGTGACCTTTATACAGGTTTATGAAATCATGAGGGTAGATAGACAAGGTCTCTTCCCTAGGTTACCGGAATCCACAACGAGACAGCCTAGGATTAAGGTGAGAGGGGAAAGATTTAAAAGGGACCTAAGGGGTAACTTTCTCATGCAGAGGGTAATGTGTATGGAATGAGCTGCCAGAGGAAGTGGTGGAGGCTGGTACAATTACAACATTTAAAAGGCATCTGGATGGGTATATGATTAGGAAGGGTTTAGAGGGATATGGGCCAAATGCTGGCAAATGGGACTAGATTAATTTAGGATATCTGGTTGGCATGGGCAAGTTGGGCCGAAGGGTCTGTTTCCATGCTGTACAACCCTGTAACTCCATGACTCTATGGTTAATTGAATTAAGAGTCCACCATCTTCCATGTTGAGATTCAAACTCCTGTCCCCAGAGCATTAACTTGGGCCTATGGATTACTAGCCCAGTGACCTTCTCACTGCACAACAAGTTTTCCTGAACAAATGTTTGAATAAAGACTAATTTAAAATGACATGACATGATTCAAAAGTTTGGCAGTGAATGTCATTTAACCAGTGAGTTCCTTTAATTGCATGGAGCTAATGGGTTTCCTGCATAATGCAAAATTCCATTGTTCCTCTATTTTGTTACTATTCTGTAGAACATGGGTGTTTTTGCCCATCCCTAATTGCTCTTGAGAAGGCAAGATGATGATCTTAAGCTGTTGCAGTCTGTGGTGGGAGTTGGTAGACCCATGATGTCGTTCGGGAGGGAATTCCAGGACTTTGACACTGAAGGAATGGTGATATGTTTCCAAGTCAGGATGGTGAGTGGCTCAGAGGGGAATGTTCCCATGTATCTGCTGCCCTTGTGCTTCGAAACGGAAGAGCTTGCAGGTTTGGACGGTACTGTTGAAGACCTCAATGAGTGGCTGCACTGAATCTTGTGGATGGCACACGTCAATAAATGTCAACAAACACAACTTCTCATGAAAATGCAAATCAGTTTGCCTTAATTTTGGTGACAGTGTAAGCAACAAAACCGCATTCTGCTGACTCCCAGTTGTCAGTGAAACAAACCTGTAAGTTGCCTCCATGTTTAGCTGCAGGCGGTTTAAGGTGGGCTTGACAGTTGTCTAAGTGGGACTGGGGAGAGGCGATGGCACAGATGGACCCTTTTCACAGATTTGACTCAAAGAAGCTGAGCTTTTGAATCATTTTAAAATAAACATCATTTCAAGCATGTAGATGAGTTCTGCTGAAAGCAGATAGATCAATCTTGAGGAATGACTGCCATTTGACCTTTTAAATAGCAGTGGTGCTGATATTCTGTCCGCTTATAAATAGATATAAGATTTGCAAATCTGAGCTCTAGTAACTTGAGATAATGTCGCCGTGCTTT